GCATCAATACAAATACATAACTGAGAAAAAAGTTATAAATAGATATATTTGATTTCTGGAATTGATTGCTAAGAGAAATGGAGAATGGACTTCAGGAAATATAAATTTCCTATAGCGATCAAGAAATGTTAAAAATAAAATCTATTTGAATTTATTCTGAAAAGATCAATATTGTGAAAATAAGGGATGTAAGGAGGACCATGTTCTACCTATTACAAATTTTCTTGCTGGAGTATCATCTATGAGGACATAGAGACCACAAGGTTATTTAATGGAGTAGCTTGCTCCTAAGCATTTGCAGGTTTTCCCTCAGACTCCACACACTAAAATGATGAAAACTAGATATTTGATAATAACAAATTATGGTAGCCTAATCGTTTCAATACCAGCTGTAGCAAATTTAGGGGCAGGTCACGAACTAGTGCTCTTTCTGCCCAGAAGTATATCCATCTGTATCTAGCAGAGAGAGCTGACACCAAGTTGTGAAGATAAAACTTGGCCTGAACAGTTAAAATATGTACCTGCTCTGCAGGTAAGCAAAACCACCTTTTCTTTTAGCCTTCAATGAAAATCTGTGATTGCTGAAATACAGCAAAGCTGGCAAGGAAGAATAAAGGAATAAGGAATTACACACTTAGACAATAAGAACTTTCATTTGCTTTTGTACCTTGGGTGAAAGAGTGAGTGAATAATTACAATCCAATGATTAATTTCATTAACCATGGTAAGATAAGTATGTTCAAGAGAAAGTGAGACATTTGAGCTGACAGTGCAGTGTACTTACTCATAAGTACAGTACACTGGTGTTTCCAAGTGCATTCTTTGTGTTATAAATGAACACATGTAGGGTCTGGCCCAGAGACAGCACAGCTGCTTTCAGGCATTGAGGAGCTGAAATAATGTACCTGTCAGCCCTTGTGGGTAATGTGGAGAGTCAGTCCAGCACTCCATGAACCCTATTCCTACGACTGGACATAAAGCAAGATCCTCTTCACCAAGTCTCTGATTCAGCCTCAGCTGATCAGTTTGATTTGGGTCTGTTAAGAAGCACTGATGTGTCTGCCCTGTACTCAGAGAATGTGGGTCTAATGCTATTGTCTTCTGAATGCTATACTGAAAAGGGACACAGCACAGTACGAGTCCCAGACTGCTTCATATCTTTGGCAACTGCAAAGTATTTTCCTGATATTTATAATTTTGAAATTCCTTATGTTGTCCTGGGTTGTGCATACAAAGTTCTGTTTTAACACAGTATGCTGATGTGTTCATAGAACTAAACACTAATATATTAAAATAACATTTATATAAAGTATTGCATCTTCACAGAACTATACTTCATCATCTAGTTAATCTTTACAATATTCTTATGATTAAGTTAGAACTTAGTGTTTATTTATTTCAATAGACTTTCTTTTTCCTGTGAAATAAGATTCTGACATTCTGCCTTCCATTGCCAGTGCAGCTATCTAGGTCTTAACATAACTGAGGAAGTATATTAAACAGAATAGCTCCATTTATACCTTCCCCTGCTCATCCAGTTTTGTAAGACTTGAAGAATTTGACAAAAATCCAATGGAGAAAGCCCCTATTCAAAAGAAAGTAGTTAAAGAGAAAATATGAAACCTATGCACACCCATGTTGTTAATGTTAATAATTTCAAGCCTATTTCTGGGTGGTTTCTCTGAGTCTTTTTTGAATTAATCTCAGGATACCAGCTCAGATTTCAGGTGTGCAAATCAAATGACCATCTGTTCAAAATGCGATGCCACAGAAAGGCTTTGATATTGGTCTTCAAACAGAAAAATGTTTATAGCACTTCTGTGCAACATGCTGCTAAACCTGTGCCAAGTAATAATACAAAAGGGGATTGCTCTGCCTCGTGTTTTCTTAATGAGAAATGTAACATAGACTCATTGCATTTCATGCTACGAATTTGAGAGTATTTTATTTCACGGAGTATAGACTAACTTAATACTGATTGTGTTGGCCCTCACTATGGACAATGCTTTTAGTTTACTTCATTAGGAAGGACAATGTCATATAAGGATGGGTAAAATGATGCAGAACACAGCATTATATACAGTGAACAATCAATCTTTTACTGTCCAGAAAATCTTGATAACTTGTAAGGCCTATATAAATTGGACATACGCTATAAATCCAGTTAACTCTTTTGCTTTCAGGAATTTAGGAAACAGTTCTGTCCAGCTGAACAAACAGTGAACTACCAACTAATTTTAAAGAGCCTAGAATCTAAACTTTATCAATTCATATAAATATCAACTCAGCTGTATTTTCTCTGCCTTGCACCTGTGCTTATGCTACGCCTTCTATAGAGGACACTGTATGTTTTCTTTCCAGTATATCTGTTTCTTGCTTGTCTGTCCATATCTATCTCACTTGTTTTGTTCGGAGACCTTTTCCTGAGAATATCTTGGTAGAGCTATCATAAGAAGTGTGGTGGGCTTCCTGAATTATGGGGGAAATGGCTTGTGGTGCCGTGGAATTTCTGAAGAAGGTACTTTGAAGGGAACTGGAGAGTTGTCCTGAATTAGTAAGGAGAACAGGAGAAAGAAAAAGATAGAACATGGAATGATGCAGGAAGTTAATGTGGAAAGGAAGTCCCTACTTGTTCTAAAACACCCTTTGTTATATCACTGTATGTTGGGTTTAAGGATTAGCATTGGAGAGGAGAATCAGTATGTTTCTCGTAGGCTTTACAGGACAGTTTTATTAATACATGCATTGGTTTAAAGTTTGTATGTCATCAAATCTTTTGCAGCTTCCCCAGCATATAAATCCCAAAAGAACTCACATGCAGGTTTCTCCGTCTTTATTCCACTATATCCTGATTACTCCTTTGAAGTCTGTAGGTGTTGTGTGTGTACAACTGATAACACGTTTTGGTTCCTACAACTCTAACCACACTGAATGTGGCACTGCTGTATTCTAAACATGGATCACAGTTCTGTCAGACTCAATCTTCCTTCCAAAACTTCTGAGTGATACATGAATTTAAACTATTGTTTGAGGTAGAATTTATGTGCTCATTCTGAACTTAAACTATTTAAATTAGCTTCTACGTGACAACACAAAACATGCTTTAAATCAGCTTAAGTGACAAAAATGAGTTTCTCTAGAGAAAGGAAATATTAAATGTTTTGAAGCTTGTGGAGCTGGCCTTATCTTACCTTGTGTCCGACTTGCATTTTAGGGACAAAGGATGTAGTCAATGCCTTGTGCTATCAACTAGATTCAGTACAGTCAGCTTGGATTAGAAGAGTCCCAAGGCTGAGCAACACTTCCACAGACACAGGAATCAGGAGAGTTCATTGGTGGCTGGAAACCAACTGTTTCCCCCAGGTATTCTCTTGAACATAGATGGCCAGAACTGAGGACTGAGCTTCTGGAGTTTTTTTGTGAGTTTGCTCTGAAATTAAAATTGCTTTATGATGCTAATTGGGAGGGTATAGATTCTGTGACCACTAATGTGTCACTATATCATAACTAATTTCTTTAGTATGAGCTATCATACATAGCATCCCAAACTGCCGTAGAAAATAAGGCAACTCCTACTGCCCTTTAACATTATTATTATTGCAGTTACTTGAAACCTCTTAAAGTTTTTGGTATAATTAGTGGTATAAAGAGGTTTCCACAATAGCCCTCCTCTGTTCCCCGTTACTGCATAATCATAATAAACATATTTAGTAATTTTTTTCAAGCTCTAACAACTATGATTTAGTCTTTTGGTTCAAGAATTCAACATGATTTGCCTTATGTCCCATAATGCAAACAACAATTTGGACCCTACACCTTTGAACTCTTAGTCTTACAAGCATGTGAAAACTTGAGGTCTGGCTGATTTCTGGTTTTCTGTCATTTAAGGGCTCCTGCATAGCTCTGTCACTCCTTCATAAACTGTGGAAAGTTAAAAGGCCACTTTATCTTTCACATACCTCCGGTGAAAACTGTCCATTTCCCAGCAGCAACCTCCTTTGAAAGCAGTTGCCATTTTAATTTTTTGGCTGCATAATCAAATCTCACAAATCAGATTTTAAAAAATCCCACTATCCTTCTGTTCAACTAGGAGAAATTAAATGTGAAGCATTACTGTGGAGTTCCACAAATGCCAAAAAAAAGGTTTTGTTTATGAGAAAGGGATTTTCCAACCACCAGTCATTTTAACGAGGCATAGTCCTTTTATGTTTTCTCAGGTGAAACTTCATAAAAGGTGTAATAAAAGGCACGTGTAGATACAGGTGAGACTGAGCACAAGTGAATTTTTGGCCATTAACAATTCCTGGGTCTCAAATATCTTTTTGGGTCATCTTTTTTTCATGCAAGTGTATAGCTTACAAGGGTAATGGAGAATGGACACTGTGAGGCACCAAGAGGAGGTACAGAGTATAAACTAATGAAGTGTGCTTCAGCATTTTCCTTCTAGTGTATGCTCTCCCAAGTGAATGGGTACTTGACCCCATTAACATAAGGCCAATACTTTAAAATTATATGTTACCTAGGCTTGTTATGGTTTGAATTCTTAAGAGTCACAGGATAATCCGCATTTGATTTGACTTGTCATGTAAGATATATAGCGTTTATTTGGCACCTTTTATCTCAAGAGAACATGCACTGACCTGGTGTCCAGGATTTCTGATTTCAGTAGTCAGGAGCTCCTGACATTTCTGTGCAGTTTGGAGACCCTTTGATTGACAAAGGCTGATATCTGTACCCATCAGTTATTTATTCACTGCTTCTCTGTTTTTCTGAGAAGTTTCACTCATGTCTTAATCAGAAAGCTACACGATTACTCATAATACAGAGATAATTCTGGCTGTCTTGCTCTAATTGCTCTCTAACTGGGACACTTCTGAATGAGGTATAGATGTACCCAGGGTTCCTAGTTCCTACTAGGGTTTCCCACGCTGGGCCTGTCTAGTTTATATAATCCACAAAGTGTTAAACTCTCGTTTAATGGTTACTCCACAAAAAGGTACCTGAGTGCTGTCCGCCCACAGCCACGCACCGGAGCCACACCCGCTTCGTGCCGACAGGCCTTGCATTCCTCGGAGTCAAAAGTACTGGTAACTGCAGAGGGCTGTCCCAGGGCAGGCAGGTTGCTCGGTCACGGGTGGGTCCATGACCCACTGACCCAGGTTTTCACAGGCCCCATCCCCCTAAAGCATTCCAAAGGGATATTCCCGCCCAGCCTTCCTCCCGCTTCCCAGGGCCGTGACGCTGCCAGCACCCCTGGAGCGGCCTCGCCCGCCCCCTGGCGGCCGGGCCGGTGCCTGCGGGCGCCGCTCTGGGTCCGGACCCGCCGGCACCGGGAGCGCTGCTCGTGCCCGCGGAACAGCCCGTGAGGAAAGGCGAAGGCCTTCAGCTAGGAGATATTTCTGGGATCCTTCTCCGGCCCGACGCCAGTTAAGTGGAAAATGCATCTTCTGCAGCTTAAACTGGGCTGAGGGGAGAATGGGTAGTAAGGGCTGCCTTGTGTGACCGCTCTGGAAGGAAAATTGTAATTATGTGGAATAACGTGATGAATGTTTTAAAATGGTACAAAATTAGTGAGCTTTATTGATTCATCTGTAATGTACATACTGTGTTATAAATCATTAATTTGACTGAGAATTTTAGAGTTTCTTACCGTTTAAGCTCTTGTTTTATTGGCTCCCAAACATTTGCATATTGACGAATGAATAGCATTGATTTTCCTCGAGTAGATTGACTGCTTAGATGCAAAAAATTCTCATTTTTTTTCCCTATGGACTATAGCAAAGGAAGAGCTGCAGCTTTGATCTCACTGACTGGCAGCCTCTTCTATTCCTCTAGCACGCACTTCAATTTTTTTTTGAGGCAAAATGAAAGAATTGCCTTTTTTGGCATTCTCCTCTGCTATGCCAATTTCTTAGCAGTATCTATTTAGCAAAAGGGATTTTTAGATACATTTCCTTAGATTTTACATCATACTGTTCAGTATCCCAATGTTAACATTTATTTCTGCTAAAGTGCTAAAGAAGCTGTAGCAGCAATGCAGCCAATTAAAAGGCAGATGTGAAATGTGAAGTAGCACGTCTGTAAGAAAATTACACTTGGTACAGCCAAAGAAATTTCAACAGAGGGCAGAGAAGATAGCCCATGGAGAACTGTGAAAGGCACTGGCAGATGCTCACCATCTGAATTAATCATTTGTCCCCACACTGTAGAGCAGAGGAGTTATAAGCCTGAAGGAAGGCAGAGTTTGAGTTTTACTTTGCTATCGTACACATGAAACCCCAAACATCCTGCTGAGATTTGTACAGCTTCCTACCCTTCTCCCATGGTACTCAAGGCAAGTTGTAAGCAGAAGCTTATGGTCATGCACTGATTACTTGGGAAGATATTATCTAGATCCTGAAATATTTTATAGGAAATATTTAATGTAGAAATTTGCAAAACAGGGAGACCTGCTGCTCTGCATTCCTTCTTCTGTTCATCAGTTCTTATATCATACATTAGCATCATTAAAAACCCTGCACTTTGCAGGCCACACTATGACAACAGGAGGGTGTGGGTAATTCTCATTGTACAGTAGACTCACCTTTCTCATGCTCTGTCTTGGGTTCCCTCCAAGTGCTAAATCCTGTTCACAGGCTATACTGCCCAGCTCATTTTTCACCTACAATAAACAAGAAGCCTTAGGACACAATTTCATTTGCAATGACAGTATGGACAGCAGGCTGAAGGAAGCCTTCAGGAAAAATCCTGGAACGTGGACTGCACCTTCCTTTTGCTCACCATGTGTTTACTGCTGGGGGGACACACGAACAGGGATCTGGAGTGCTGCTAAAATACTCTTGAGCTGACTCTTTTAATTAAAAAGCTTGTACTTCCCCCCCATTCCAAACCCAGTCAAGGACATGTCTGGTGAAGCAAGGGCAGGGACCAGTGTATGGGCACTGGGGAGCTCGCGAAAGCCGGAGGAGGACGACAACACCTCTCAGGAGGGGAGTGACTTCTTTCCGCCCCCTCCCCGGGCCGCTCCCCCCCGGCTGCGGGGGCGCAGGGCCCGGGGTGCCTCGGCGGCTCCGGTGGCAGCGCGGGCACGGGCGGGAGGGCGGCGGGCGGACCCGCACCCGCACCGCGGCTGCGGCGGGGCCTGGGCGAGCCCATCGCGCCGTGCGCGGAGGGAGGGAGCGAGCGAGCGAGGGAGGGAGGACGGACGGACCGACCGACCGGCGGGCGAGCGGGGGGAGCTGCCGCCAGCCGGGTGCGCGGCGACCTGAGCCCTGTCCAACATGGTCGCCGCTCACACCTCCCATTCCGCGTCCTCCGGCGAGTGGATCGCGTGCCTGGATAAAAGGTATCGGCATCCTCACGGGAGCGGCTGCGGAGGGATGCTGCGTGTATGTGCACATATGTCTGTGTCTGTGTGTGTGTGTGAGTGCGTGTGCGCGCTGACACCCCCTCCCCGCTCCCCATCAGATCCTGCCTTACATAAGGAGCGTGCAGGTGGGAAGCAAAACGCCCGGAGGAAGCCGGGGCGGCGGGGCAGGGTGAGGGCTAGAAATGCACCGGGCAGCGGAGGGGACGGGCAGTGCCCGCTGGGATTGCTGCTTCCCGCCGGGAAAAATGCAGCACGTGGTGGAGGAGGGGGCGCTCCTGGGCGGGGAGAGGGCCTGGGGCTGCCGGGCGGGGACCCGCCGTGCCGGCCATGGCAGACCCGCCGCATTCAGCCCCAGTCCAACCTTCACCCCAGCAGCCCGGCAGCTGCCGCCCGCACCTCCCCTCCCTTCGGCGCAGCGGCCCCGCCTCGTCTCCCCTCAGCACACCGCCCCCGCCTCGCCTCAGCCACTTCGCAGCCTCCGCCCCGCTGCCTTGCAGGGCGAGCGGGCGAGGAGGGACCTTCGCCTCGGTGGCGACGGGCGCTTCTGCTCGCTGCGGCGTCCTGGGGGCCCGCGGTTGTGCCCCCGGCACCGCGTGGGTGAGAGCCACGGATGGGCTGACGTGTGCTCAGAGGTGGTGTGCGCGCTGCTAAAAATACCGTCAAATTCATTATTTAAAAAAGAAAAACTAAAAATTCTTTGGAGTGCTTTCCCTCGGGTGCTGCAGCCAAAAGTCTCGCAGCGTCGAGTTGTGTGGTGGGTGGTTTGAACGCCCTTTTGCTCTATTCCTACCTTCACGAATTCCTGGATTAGTTCAGAAGTCGTTTGATTTCCGAGCGCTCACTGTGTCTCCTATAGTCTAGGAAAATCATTAACAAAAATTTAGACCGTAAATACACTGTACGATTCAAACAAAGCTTATGTGGTGTATGGCACTTTACTGAGCATCACGAGCCAGCTTTTGACAGGTGGTGCCATTTGGGGCTCCACTGCTGGAGAGAAGCTTTTGTGCACATAAAAGCACAAAATGTCCTTCGATGTGCACATAGAAGGAACCTTCCCCTTCTCGTATTTTCTTCCATTTCCAGGTAACCTCCTAGTCTTGTAGGGCTGCACCTCTAATTAGGTGTTCCTTAACAGTCCAAGCAACGAACTGTAACAAGTTAATATCACCTTTTGGTCTAGACCCTACCACAGATATTGATTCCCCCTCTGTAACATGTGTCTTAAGAGAAGACTAACCTCTTAGAGGTTAAGTAATGTGTATGAATGTTGAAAGTACTCTAAATGTACGAGCAGAACTGCTGATGGTAATCTAGCCATATAGAAACCAAATAGAGGCAGAGGGCCTAATTGTCTGTAAGCTGACATTGAGCGGATGTGAAGAAGGAGAGGATGAGCCCCAGTATGTTTAGATAGGTGATCCTGTGATTTCTGTCTTTGTAAATGCAATACATCATGAGATCTAAATTGTAAACTAAAATTCAGGGTTCATGTCTAATGAAGTGCATAGCCTTGGGGAGTGGATGATGTATTTAGGAAACATGTGAGGCATTTAATTTATAAATCTTGTCTGCCATTATTTTGTATGGAAATTAATATGCTGACCATTTCTGTAATGGGAATTTCATTAGAGCTATTAAAATAAACCTTTTTCTTCACTTTTTGATATTTGAAGTAACCTAGTAGCACCAATTTGTTGAGTGGAAACAATCAGTTCCAAGTGCTTTTAAGAATTATGCCTTATCCTTTCCCAGAAGGCAGTCTGTATGTAGGACAAACCCATAACATGAGAGATTGTAGGTTTTTTTCCTGGTCTCTGCTATGCTCTGCTTTGTGATCATAGGAAGTACACTTACTCATTTTATTCTGTTTTGCCATCTAAAAAACAGAGTTAAAGCCATGTGGGAAAAGTACTATAGGAATGCAAGTACTATTAGATAAAACATTTTTGATTAATTTACATATTTGTATTTCTAGAGTATTTATTTTCTATAGATAATGTATCTGTGTACATCATGTAGCATTTTCTATCCTAGGTGTGAGTTCTGTAAATACAAGATCATTTATTGAGTCAATTTTCTATAGGATACCTATCATGTGTTTTTATTAAATAATAAATATAGTTTTCGTATGTTTTCATTAATGAGTATATTTTCAGCAGGCAGACAGTTCTAAAACTAGTATGCTTTAGAATCTTAGGTGAGCCTCAGCAAAGACAATTAAAATGGCCTGTAATATGGATTATCCAGTATAATTATTTGAAAAACAGAATGGAATTCTAAATGGAAATAGCAAAATACATCATGTACAGAAATTTCGTATTTTGTATATGTTCTTCATGTGGTTCCCCAAATCATGTGTCAAACTGGAACTACTGGAATGATTAAGATCTAGAATAAGAGCACTATAAAAATGAAGAAAGGCCAAAATATTTCGGGAAAAATGTTACTACTGTGTAGGGTGCTGTGGGCTGGGAATAGCAGTGCTTTGGCCATGCATCTTTCAAGTGTGGTTACTAGCCACAAAAGCCAAAGATCAGCACTTAAAAATCAAATACACAGGACAGTATTTATAAATGAAGTTACAAGCACAAAGGTAAGGAACAGCAGGAACAGAAAATTCAGAACACTGTTCTCCATCAAGAATATTTTATTTTTGCAGGAGAGAGAGAGGATCAGTGGTGAGCAGCTGTACATCCTGGTTATACCTGGAGATGTAAATAATTTTTCTGTTGAGGAAACCAGTCCTTTTATATTTGATGTAAAAAGTTGCCTTACCCCTCATTTCTTAGGGAGCAGAAGCATCCCTACCATCTTAGCACTTTTCTGTATATCTGATCTGCACATAATTAAAAAAAAGTTGCTTATTTATGCAAGTGTGTATTGTTAGCTTAAGAAGAACGTCTTCTCTATTCTCATGGTTTAACACCAAAAACCATCTAACTGGACTGAATGGTAGACAAAGTGTTTTTTACGTAACTCTTATTTCTCTAAACCTGATCATATTTATGAATTCAGTTAATTGTTTTAATTGGATTCAGATGCAAACTTTTTAATGACGTACAGCATTCACAACAGCCAGAGATCCCAGGATTTCATACCTGCCTATAGCATCTTGTGTTTTTCTCTGAATTAAATGTAACCCTAAATGCCTTAGCAGACTGGAGGAGCAGATCACACAGCGAAGCATGTAACTTCTCTAGCCTGTCGTGCTAAGTGTGTTGTGATCTTTGCCTAGTAATTTATAAATTATTTAAATAGGAATGGGCTTTTTGAGGACATATTGTGCATCCTAAGCTTTTATATCCTTGTTATTCTTGTAGACTTGCATCATTTATGTCTAACCAAACAGAAATAATGTATACTGTTTAGTATCTCAAATCTGTACTTTAAGCCAAGCTCCCATAGATTTGAATGTAAGTTCAGACTAAAGCTATGTACCACCAACATTTAAATCAGGTTTTGTTTTTTTGGTTCATTGTAACATGTATTTGAGATGCAAGTTACTTGTGTTTGCTTATAGTCAAAAAGGGACCCTTGGTGAGGATTACAGGGCTATAGGCTATAGTATATAAGGTAGAATGAAGAACTGATATTCTGAAAGAATTGTTGTAAAATAAGTACAGAAAATGCTTGTCATCCTCTATAACCTATAAATATGTCAAAGATAATGGGATATAGATTTGTAATCAGGCAATGTTATGAGTATTTTAGAGTTACTTTACGATGCTCTTTTATTTTATAATATATTCTTATACGATTGGTAAAACATACACTGACTTCTATATAAATTTCTCCCTTGCTTCTTATTTGTGACAAATCCGTAGAACTGTCACCATTTTCATGTAGTTTGGCTTGGAACAAAGTCATGGGCATACACTGCGGTTCCTGTTGGTCTGTGTGCTTGGCGTTTTCTCTCTGTAGAATGTGCCTAAGCTGATACACGCTTGGATGAAGTCCGTGTGGGGATGTAACAGCAGAAGGTGCTGCAGTGGATATGTAATCTTGGAGATAGAGCCATATAGACTTAGCCCAAGTGCTTTCTAGCACTCATCTGAAGGTGCAATCTTCTGAGAGTGATGAATAATAACAAATTTATCTTTCCACATCATGCAGTTAATTTTCTAGTCCAGTGCAAAGGTGTAGTCCTTGATGAATAATAAAAAAGCCCTTTTCCTTTCCATATCTCCTTAGAGAAACAAAAATAATTGTTAATATAGCGTGCTGCAAGCTTGTATGTCTGTGCATTTTATGGAATATATGAATTCAGATTAACTCACAGTGAGAGCAGGATTTTGAATTTTAAACAAATTCAAGCTGTTGTATTCTCTGCTCTCAGCCTTAGACATTTCCAGTATCAGCTTCCATTTGTTCCATGTGATTGCAGTAAGTTATGCACTTGTACTATGGACGGGTATTAAGAGGAAGAAAAAGTGATTACCGGAAAAAGTGATTACCGTAGCATTCATGTGCATAAACGTTGTCATGGCCCACCAGAGCAAGCCACTATGTGCACATGCCTGTTAGGACATGGTAAATTCAAATTTAATTGGTAGTCTTGTGAAGTGGGTGATTGGTGTGCTACTTGTGCAACTCCAAGTTTTCTCTTTCAAGTGATACTGGAAACATGACTAAACCCTCATTGCCTGAGTTATTTCTGACATGTTAGGATTTGATCTCTAAAGTCCTGTACTCTGAGCAGATTAAATTTCTTTTATAACAAAATTCCATGTTCCAGCAAAGCAATAAAAACCTACAAACCAGCTAATTGAAATCATGCCCTGAAAGTCAGGTGTTCACCAGATATTTTTCAAATGCAAGTATTTTTCTTATCCAGTGTGACGCCTGTTTTTATCTGCATCTTAAAATTTGCTGCATTTAACAAGCTTATAATTCTAATGATACTTTGTGCTGTATTTTCTGCACTGTATTTGGCATGATCACTTACTATTCTTGCTACTTTATCAGTATCCTCA